TCCACCTTCCTCAGGATCCACTGATTTCCCTCTTTCCTCTTTCACTCTCTCTCTTTCTTAACATTTTTAATCACAATTGCCTATTTTTGTTCATTTTAAATATATTTTTAAACATTTTCTAAATGCTTTTTTATATTTTTACATTTTTTTGTTTTTGTGAAGCGCCTCGTGATTTTTATCTTGAGAGGCGCTATAGAAATGATATATTCTTCTTCTTCTTCTTCTCCTTCTCCTTCTTCTTCTTCTAATGTGATAAGTTCTCCATTCAATAATATCAGAGGAGAAACAGTCGACTGCTACCACTTCAACTTAAGGACAAATTACCAGAGTCCCTAAACGAAAAACACCATGTAAAGTCACAAACAGCAAAAGGCGTTTGGATCTGGAAAACGGTGTCTGGTGTTTGGCACCATCTTGTTTCGTCCAGCATTGCAGGTCTCTGGTTAGAAGCATCTCAGGAAAGATACCCAAAGGGAGGGGTGAGTGTTTTGTGACTGTGTTTGTAATTAAAACCTAGCTTATTTGCAGATTTGTCATAACAGCTTTAACACATCTGCCACCGTCGTCCCATGGGGAAAACACCTCCACTTTGGTCTCATCTGTCCAAACGACATTGTATAAGAGGTCCTTGATTAATTCAGAAACCCTAATCATGCCGCCATATTTTTTTTCCAGAAAAACGGTTTTGCCTTCAACCATTCAAAACTAGCCAGACAAGTTTAAAGTAGGGATGCACCGATACTGTTTTTTTTTTCAAACGATACGATACCGATACCTGGATCAGAGTACTCGCTGATACCGATTACTCATACTTCTACCACACAAAAAATGCAAAAAATACAGGTTTTATTTTCTTCTCTGCTTTCAACAGGAAAAGATGGTGAGGTAGATAAAAATACAATACATTAATAGAAACTATCACAAAACTAACATATTAGGTGAACAGAAAGGACAAGATACAGTGAAGCCACTTTCACTTTGCATTGGTGCTGGTTCACTTTTACCGATACCGAACCAACACTGGTGTCAGTGCATCCTTATTTTAAAGTAAAGCTTTTAACCTGATATCTGAGGCCTGGAGACTGTAACATGGAGCTCTTGTATTTTTATCACTTTTTCTCGGAGGTCTGACTTTTAGGTGAGTTTAGACCAGGGAACAATGGCAGCTGCGTTAAATGTATCCCACGTGTGAATAATCTTTCTTTGATGGACCCAAAATTGTTATGAAAAGAACTTTAATCCTTCTGAGATTAATGGACATCACCATGCGTTTGAGCCTGACTTTGTTTTTGTTTTTACATGAACAATCGTGGGTTAATTATAGTTTCTTTGGGTTGCGCCACTTTGAGAATGGACCGTGCGCTGGACGCAGCTTCCTGGAGCGCACCAACGATGTGACCTGAGAGTGAGAATAATCTTCTCACAAGGCACTGTGGTTGCAGGGGTTGACAGGTGCTTGCATGCAACAGGTGCCAGTCTGGAATGTGCCTCTTCTCTCTTCAACCACCACTGTAATGGACAGTGTCCAATGTCCATTTTGGGCTTTGCTTTGTACCGATCTAGACAGCGCTCCATGTACAGCATTGTCCGTGCTAGTAAGATAGCATGCTAGCAAGCTTTTCCTCTCCTTTTCTTTTTCTGTTGCTTCTAATCACTTCCAGCAGGTCAGACAACAGCATAGCGCAACGTTGCCCTCTCCTTCAGAGCCGCTCACGAGTTTGAGGTGTCGGATTACATAAAATTTTAAAAACTGCATTAATTACGTTAATTTTTGATGCATTAAACATTTCACATTGATGAACTAAATTAACGCGCTATTTTTCACAGCACTAGTACTAACACACACACACCAGTATGCTCCAGACCAACAAACTGCCAAAACTCAAGCTTTTGAGGTCAGGTTAATGCTGATCATTTGATCGAAAGCAACCTTCTAGATTGCTATGCTATGTTCAAGGAAGACATAATGATTTGTTTTTGTGTAATTAATAATGACACATTGGGATCTGTTAGGTGTGTTTTTGCTATTGTTGAATTTTAATAAGTTTAGCATCTGTTAAAGACTAGATCACTTTGGTATGTCCTTATACAACTAAAAGAGGGTGTACTTCCTTTTCTCTGTGCTGATGTAACACTCGTGCCTTGATAGTGCACATATCACAAAACTGATTAAAATGTTTACAATAAAAGTAAAGTAAAGCAGGGGAAATTCTTGAATTTAGACTAAGTATGAGCAGCATTCATCCAGAGAGCGTTGCTGAGTGATGGCCTCACCTTACTAGTCCCCTGCTGAAGATGGTCACAGGGGAGAACGCCCATAGCGACCATAGCTGTCAGATGCTGTTTACCTGATGTCGAAGAATGATTGGTTTCATGGATCAAGACAGCGCTCTCTAACACAGGGAAAGGAGGGAGACAGACGCTGCCACACCTAGCAGAAAAAACACCGGCAGGACATGAAATGTGAAGAAAAAAGGTTGTTTCTGAAGTCACCTGTCCCCTTTCCCCATAAAGCAATATCCACCCAAGTTTTGTTCTACAAAAAGCTAACATTAGATCAGAATGTGTTCTTTGTTTGAGTCTGACTTGGTTTTTGTCTTTACTTCCTGTGATGGGAGGTGGACTCACTTCCAACTGTGTCCTAGTTAGGAAAAGGAACCAGTATGGACACCACAGAACAGTCTGGTGTCACTGAGGTGCACTGATGCTACCGGCTGCCTAAGAAATCAGGGGATGAATCTTTAATTGTGTAGGAGTTTCTCACAGGATACCTCATCTGCAAAGTGCTGCAAACAAGCACCCTATTTCCAAGTCTGACTCATGTCTAGAGTCGTTTGTGGAAAAGTACGACCGGTATCACTGATGTCAGTGCAGCTGGTGAGGCTTGTTAGCATGAATGACAAGGCAAGAGGTGGGACGCAACAACAGCAGCTCACTCACTCTCTGGCTTAGTCTCCCTCAGTGTGTTTTTCCCAACATGAGTTCAGCATGTCTCCTGAAGAGGCGGGCTTCCTGGCAATCCCACTCCCAGAGCTCATGACAGTTTTAATGATTGATCTCTCTCCTCTTGACTGCAACGAGAGGGAAGAGGGAACACCGCAGAGCAAAGAAAATGGAAAGGGAGGAAAGAGGGGTGTGAACGATCTCACAAGGTCAGAGGGATGTCCAGGCTTTTGTTTTCTGCGGTGAGATCTGTGGCCTGTTCACCCGCAAAGAAACCCACTAAATAGCTGCCATGCCTCCTGCGGAACAAACACTCTTACAAAATGAGCGTGCACTAAGCCGATCGCTTGCTAACTAAATGTGACGATTCTCATTTTACCTGTTAGAAAGCCAAGAAAAGTACAGACGAGCCACTGCTTTCCACCTGTAGGCCCATCTGTGAGAACATTGTTGCTGAGGCCAGCAGACTCTCACACACATTTATGTCCAGCAACACACATGCATTATGCAGATCTATTTATGGCCAAGAAAATGTGTCACATTAGTGTGTCTGGGTTATTTTCAACGACTGTTGAAACACAGAAATCACATGTTTCCTGACTGTTGCTAAGCCAGAATAAAACACGATTAGGACTTTGGCCCTCAGGGTTTATTTGATCGTGTTGCCTTCATACAAATAAATCACCATCAACATCCTTTGATCTTCAATCATCTCGTTACAAAGCTCTAGTGCTAACGCTCGCTTCGCTTTGTGCAGTAAAAATAAATTCTCCTGACTTCCTGTCATTGTGAGCGAATGATGAAAGTGCCAAACTTACCAGGAAGCAAATCAAAAGTCTCGTTACCTTCGCAAGGATTTCACAGCCGTTCATGCATGAACTTTTGTATGAATCTTTACAATGCTGTCAATTTATTACACCTACTTTTGCAGAAGTATTAAGAACTTCCTCCAAGACCAGACCTCTGATACTGGGAGACCTGCATTATGCTGCTGGTGGTCATATTTACACCTGTAAGTCACCATATAATAATTAACCACTGCATGAGGAATTGATGAAAATTTAGACTTTCTGGATTGGAATTGGTACAGTTGAAAAACACCGGAATGGATTAACAGCATGGCCTTGTGCAGTGGTACCTAATGAAAGGCTCTAGCTTGGAGAATAGGAAGACATATGGAGGTAGAACATTTATCTCACAGATACAGAGTTAATTACACCTCATTCTTTGAAGAGTCATTAGCAATACCTATAAACGGACTGACATCCAGGATCAGTGAAACACCAATGGAGCATTTACAACTCACTACCTCCCTCTACTGGTGTTCAATTAAAGTACATATATTTTACAATAATTCTTCAAAAGACATGTATTAAACATGTTTGGGAACTGAAGCAAACATATAACACTTGATTATATTGCACCATCTCATAGGCTACTGCTTCAGCGTTGTGCCATCGGGGATCTTTTCATATTGTGATGTTGGAAAACACTTAGTAGTGATTTTAAACACTTGTTGTGTCAGTGGCCCCAGCTGCAATAAACACATGGCTCTTGTGTGACTTAAACTGTCCATTATATTATGACTAGCCTACATTTGAACATATAAAATCATTGCTCTCAGAGTTTAAATTAATCAGTTTTTATTTGATTATTTTTGGTAAACACAATCATGATGATTAATGTTTTTTTTTTTTTTACATTTTATTCTTTGTGTTCCATTAAAATTGACTTTCAACGTCTGAATGCGCCTTTTCTATAATTTGTATTTCTTTTTTTGGCCATTAGGTAGTACTTGTAGTGTGGCTCGTCTGACTTGGGCACACCTGAGCTGCTGGTGCGGTGACTCGGACGGCAGATGTCTCTCTAGTCCGTGATTCCGAGCGCCTCTCGTGGATTCGCTGCGCTCTGCATAGATGACCGAATCGCCATTTTGAAAAGCAAATCGTTCACAGCACACCCGTCTTGAGTACAGGAACTATGCCGCGGGGTCGGCCTCGCAAACTGAACCTAGACAGGGAGGACAAACCAGGTAACAAGTTCCAAATTGCAATAAATAAAAAATAGCGGTTACGAGCTATCCAAAAAGTCTGGTATTATTTCGTGAAGCACCGCTGCAGTCTATATAATAACACTTGAAGGTAGTGTATATAGTCCCCGGATATAGTATTGCGGGTGGGCTTTGCTTTGTACGACGAAGGAGTGATTGAGGCGGAATGATATTAATAACGTTTCGGTGGCTCTTCTTATTGGCTTCCAGTCTAAATTGGTGTCCGCGAGGAGAGGACCCGTAGACCCACTCCGCGTAGCGGCACTTAACCATTGTTTCTTTAAACCAATCCATTGTTTTTTTAGAAAGTCGTTGTTAGCTTGTGGTTGCTAACTAGCTAGCTTTAGCTTCGCGGTTAGCACGCTAAATGTGTGCCTTTGTTGTTTTGGTTCTGTGGAGCTCTGGCTGCGTCTGTGGCGCAGCTGTCCAGCTGCAGAGGGGACAGAAGTGTTTAGTCAAAGCTAGCTGTGTCAGGCTCTAATGTTGTGACAGGCGTAAGTTGGAGAAAGTGCTCGTAAGATTTAGCTTTTTAAATTGTACATTTTCACTAGCTGATGTTGTGAAAAAGTCAAAAACCCTAATCAGAATGATTGGATTCTGATCACATAGAAGTCAATAAATCTAGGGATTACAATTAAAATTAAAGCTGCAAGCAGCGTCGTTCGGCCCTCGCAGCTCCGCGCCGCTCCGGTCTGCCGTCGCACCAGTGCACGTCTGACAGAACAGAAACGTCAACCACCCCGACACCAGAAACCGCGAATGGCCTCCTAGTCTGCACCTCACCCTGACTCAGCATCCCCTCTGAGCTCACCATTAAATTGAATATTAAGATTACGGCGTTACGCCAGAATTCGCCATGGCATCAAAGCCCCTCCCTTTCTGGAAAGCTATCAGATCTGAATGGTCATTACAGCATCATGAAGACAGTGCATGACCTTAGAGTCATGTTGACTAAATTAGAGGGGACAAATATGGGCATTTCAGCATAAAAAATAAATTCCTGTAGTCAGGGGGCGGGGCTTAGGTGATGTCAGCTGTCCACATTGTCATTGTTTACAGATATGGTCAATGATCACACAGACAAAGTTCGAAAAAGATCTGATCATGCACATGGGAGTTATTAAGTCAAGTAAAGTAATGGCGAAAGGTCAACGTTTGAGGCTTAGCCACGCCCACACCTTTCAACTTTTGAAAAATCCGACGGTTGAATTTTTTCCCCTATGTCTTAAGAGTGTATTGCAGAAGTTTGAAGGTGATTGGTGAAAAGGGCGACGGAGCATCACTCTCCAAACAATGTGTGCGAAAACCACTAAATCACGTACTTGCACCAAAATGGCCGACTTCCTGTGCGACTTTACGCTTGGCTCCAAGAGACTTTTTTGTAGGTCCTGAGACCCCACATTAGTGTACCAAATTTCGTAATCCTCAGTCAAAGCATGGCTTGGGGCTGAAAGTTTTAATGGCTCTAGGGGGCGCTATTTAAGAATATAGGCCACGCCCACAAACTTCAGCTGTCTATTTCTCTTGGAGCTCAGACTAGGATCACTCACCAGAAGTTTCGTAGCAATATCACGATAACTGAAGAAATGAGACAAACGTATTTCCATGGCGTGATGGCGATTTTCGCCATGGTCCCAAAGCCCCGCCTTTTTTCAAAACCTGCCAGTACTGGAGACCAAGTAACCTCAACTTGTCTACTGCTGTTTGCCACAGAATCCTGGTGATTGGGTAAAAGGAGTCCAGTAGGGAGCTGTGAAAAAAAGAGTAGCGTGGCGACAGGTCAAAGTTTGAGGCTTAGCCACGCCCACACCTTTCAACTTTTGAAAAATCCGACGGTTAAATTTTTTCCCCTATGTCTTAAGGGTATATAGCAGAAGTTTGAAGGAGATTGGTGAAAAGGGCGACGGAGCATCACTCTCCAAACAACGTGTGCGAAAACCACTAAATCGCGTACTTGATCCAAAATGGCCGACTTCCTGTGCGACTTTGAACTTGACTCCAAGAGACTTTTTTGTAGGTCCTGAGACACCACATTAGTGTACCAAATTTCGTAATCCTCAGTCAAAGCATGGCTTGGGGCTAATAGTTTAAATGGTCCTAGGGGGCGCTATTTCAAAACATAGGCCACGCCCACAAAATTCAGCTGTCTATTTCTCTTGGAGCTCAGACTAGGATCACTCACCAGAAGTTTCGTAGCAATATCACGATAACTGAAGAAATGAGAGACAAACGTATTTCCATGGCGTGATGGCGATTTTCGCCATGGTCCCAAAGCCCCGCCTTTTTTCAAAACCTGCCAGTACTGGAGACCAAGTAACCTCAACTTGTCTACTGCTGTTTGCCACAGAATCCTGGTGATTGGGTAAAAGGAGTCCAGTAGGGAGCTGTGAAAAAAAGAGTAGCGTGGCGACAGGTCAAAGTTTGAGGCTTAGCCACGCCCACACCTTTCAACTTTTGAAAAATCCGACGGTTGAATTTTTTCCCCTATGTCTTAAGGGTATATAGCAGAAGTTTGAAGGAGATTGGTGAAAAGGGCGACGGAGCATCACTCTCCAAACAACGTGTGCGAAAACCACTAAATCGCGTACTTGATCCAAAATGGCCGACTTCCTGTGCGACTTTGAACTTGACTCCAAGAGACTTTTTTGTAGGTCCTGAGACACCACATTAGTGTACCAAATTTCGTAATCCTCAGTCAAAGCATGGCTTGGGGCTAATAGTTTTAATGGTCCTAGGGGGCGCTATTTCAGAAAATAGGCCACGCCCACCAGATGTTCACATCAGATCTTTTGGGGGGCCGGACTAGGATCACTCACAAGAAGTTTCGTGACGATATCTTTGGAAATGACGAAATGGGAGGCAAACGTAAGGCCAAGGCGGTACGCCTGAATTCGCCGCGCCACCACAGCCCCGCCCTCTGCCGAAAACTCCCATAAAGTGACGCCAAGCAACCCCCACTTGTCTTGAGTTACCAGCTACAAATTTGTGGTGATTAAGTGAAATGGGGCAATTTGGGACCTTTCACAGTAAAACTTGATCTTTTTGGTCCTGAGGGGGCGGGGCTTGTGTGATGTCATCATCCGACCTTTCAATTTACTTTGTGGGTGGATGACGAATGACCACAGAAAGTTTGGTAACTCTATTCCATTCAGTTATGAAGTTATAGCAATTTAAATATTTTTGGCGAGTAGTCAAACTTCGAGGCCTGGCTCCGCCCCTTCAACATATACGAAAACTCAGAATCCTTATCTCATTTTGTTCGCCCATCCCTTCTGAGCAATTTTACACAATTTTTGAGACGATCGTGCGAAAAATGATCGAGCAATCCAATCAGAAACGGACCCTAAAAACGGCAAAAACGGCAAAAAATCGCCATTTCAACCCAAAATGGCCGACTTCCTGTTTGATATTGACCATGGTTGCAAGAGACTTTTCTGTGCGGACTGTTGAGTACTACAAGTGTACCAAATTTCATAACTGTACGATAAACTAAGCTTTATGGAGAGGGGTTTTTTTCACTTTGTAGGGGGCGCTGTTCAGCCATTTTCTTTGCGATTTTTTTGGGACCTTTAAAATATCAAATTTTTCACCAGGCCTGACAAGTGTGCAAAATATTGTGAGTTTTGGGGTATGTTAAGGTCCCCAAAAAGCTGTTCAAAGGGGGCACGGAATAACAAAAAATAATTAAAGCTGCAAGCAGCGTCGTTCGGCCCTCGCAGCTCTGCGCCGCTCCGGCCTGGCCAGCAGCCCGGGGCACCAGGGCACGTCTGGCAGAACAGAATCGTCAACCGCCCCGACGCCAGAATCCGCAAATGGCCTCCTAGTCCGCACCTCACCCTGACTCAGCATCCCCTCTGAGCTCACCATTAAATTGAATTGTAAGGTTACGGCGTTACGCCAGAATTCGCCATGGCATCAAAGCCCCTCCCTTTCTGGAAAGCTCTCAGATCTGAATGGTCATTACAACATCATGAAGACAGTGTATGACCTTAGTGTCATGTTCACTAAATTAGAGGGGACAAATATGGGTATTTCACCATAAAACAATATACTTCCTGTTGTCAGGGGGCGGGGCTTAGGTGATGTCAGCTGTCCACATTGTCGTTGTCTTGAGATGTGGTCAGTGATCACACAGACAAAGTTTGAAATAGATCTGATCATGCACATTGGAGTTGTTAAGTCAAGTAATGTAATGGCGAAAGGTCAAAGTTTGAGGCTTAGCCACGCCCACACCATTATACTTATTTAAAATCCGACGGTTGAATTTTTTCGCCTTTGTCTTAAGAAAATATAACAGAAGTTTGAAGGTGATCGGTGAAAAGGGCGACGGGGTATCATTGTCCAAACAACGTGTGCGAAAACCACTAAATCGAGAACTTGGACCAAAATGGCCGACTTCCTGTGCGACTTTGCACTTGGCTCCCAGAGACTTTTTTGTAGGTCCTGAGACACCACATTAGTGTACGAAATTTTGCAATCCTCAGTCAAAGCATGGCTTGGGGCTGACAGTTTTAATGTCATAGGGGGCGTTATTTCAGAAAATAGGCCACGCCCACAAACTTCAGCCATCCATTTCTATTGGGGGTCAGACTAGGATCACTCACAACAAGTTTCGAGGTGATATCACGATAAATGACGAAATGAGAGGCAAACGTATTTCCATGGCGTGATGGCGAATTTCGCCATGCTCCCAAAGCCCCGCCTTTTCTCAAAACCTTCCAGTACTGGAGACCAAGTGACCTCAACTTGTCTGCTGCTATTTACCAGAGATTACTGGTGATTGGGTAAAATGGGTCCAATAGGGAGCTGTGAAAAAAAGAGTGGCGTGGCGAAAGGTCAAAGTTTGAGGCTTAGCCACGCCCACACCTTTATACTTATTTAAAATCCGACGGTTGAATTTTTTCCTCTATGTCTTAAGAGAAAATAGCAGAAGTTTGAAGGCGATTGGTGAAAAGGGCGACGGAGCATCACTCTCCAAACAACGTGTGTGAAAACCACTAAATCGCGCACTTGGACCAAAATGGCCGACTTCCTGTGCGACTTTGCACTTGGCTCCAAGAGACTTTTTTGTAGGTCCTTAGACACCACATTAGTGTACCAAATTTCGTAATCCTCAGTCAAAGCATGGCTTGGGGCTGACAGTTTTAATCGTCCTAGGGGGCGCTATTTCAGAAAATAGGCCACGCCCACCGGAAGTTCACATCAGATCTTTTGGGGGGCCGGACTAGGATCACTCACAAGAAGTTTCGTGACGATATCTTTAGAAATGACGAAATGGGAGGCAAACGTAAGGCCACGGCGGTACGCCTGACTTCGCCGCGCCGCCACAGCCCCACCCTCTGCCGAAAACTCCCATAAAGTGACGCCAAGCAACCCCCACTTGTCTTGAGTTACCAGCTACAAATTCGTGGTGATTAAGTGAAATGGGGCAATTTGGGACCTTTCACAGTAAAACTTGATCTTTTTGGTCCTGAGGGGGCGGGGCTTGTGTGAT